TATGTTGCTGAGGCTGGCCTTGAGCAATCCACCTCCTCTACCTCCCAGAGCGGTGGAATTATAGGTGTGAGCCACTGTGCCTGGCCTAGTACAATATTATTTAAAAAACTCTATACATGCCTGTTCTGCAGAACTTTCTGTAATCTTTGTGCTTGTTTTTGGAAGAGCGGGTCAGGCAGCTCTCTCCAAGCTGCAAGACTCCAGATGGATAAGCAAGGAATCCCGTAGCCTGAGGACACCTCACTTTTCCGGTGTCCCCTTCACTGTAACCAAGGGCATATTCTCTTTTAAGAAAATGTGTCACTGGAAACCTTCATCCTAACAACCAAGAAATTGAGACTTCCCAAAGCAATTTATCAAATTACTTAAAATACAATGAATGTCATTGGTATAATTGTAAATGTTTATTGAAGTTACAAAAGAAGGTTATTTTTAATATGCTGTGTATAATCTCAAGTTGCAGCATGTTCAAACAGTGCTTTCCTGATTTTGAGGTTATATTTTTATTTTGGAAGGAAGACAAATGTAAACGTTTATCTTGCAGGGAAATGTTCGAGATGCTCTCAAACTCTGCAGTTCTTTTTTTTTTTTTTTTTTTTGAGACTGGGTCTAGCTCTGTCTGGAGTGCAGTGGTGCCACCTGGGTACACTGCAGCCTCCACCTCCTGGGTTCAAGCCATTCTCCTGGCTCAGCCTTGCAAATAGCTGGGACTACAGGCGTACTATAGGTACTACAGGCCACCACCCTGGGCTAATTTTTATATTTTTAATAGAGACAGAGTTTTACCATGTTGGTTATACTTATAGTTCTTGGGGAATGAGAATTGCTAAGTGTAATTTAATAGAATTGGAAAGGCAGTGGTTGTTTTGAAAAGAGTTTGTAGAGTACCTGTTGGAAGTGAGGTAGATCAGTGGTCCCCAATCTTTTGAGCACTGGAGACCAGTTTTGTGAAAGACAGTTTTCCACTGACCCCAGGGTAGGGGGGACATTCGAGATGGTTTCAGGGTAACTGTTCCACCTTAGATCATCAGGCATCAGATTGTCATAAGAAGCATGCAACCTAGATCCTTGCACGTGCAGTTCACAATAGGGTTCGCCCTCCTGTGAGAATCTAATGCTATGAGAATCTAATGTCGCGCTGATCTGACCGGAAGCAGAGCTGGGTGGGGGGTAATGCTTGCAGGCCTGCCCACTGCTCACCACCAGCTGGGCGGCCTGGTTCCTAACAGACTGTGGACCGCTAGGGAATCCGTGGCCCAGGGTTTGGGGACCCCTGCCATATATTCTTTATGCCAGGGAAAATAGCGGATTGAATTTGATTGCCCAAGTGCTTAACCTTAAAGTGCTTGTTTTAAAATCTAAAATTTCTGCTCCTGTGTGTGGCCAGTTACCACACCTATGGAACTAAGTGGGGGGGGAGTGGTGTACTTTGAAAGTCAATCTTATGAGTTTGAGAGGGGTCGCCTTTAAATTTTGTAAATTGGTCATCATTTGAATTCTTATGCATTTTACTATGTAAAATGATAGTAATCACTTTTCCATACTTATGTGAAGATACTCTCCTTTTCTGTATAGGTGTCTGTAGACATGAGGAACCCACAGAACGGATAACAGATCTCCCCTCCCTCCCTCCCTTCCCCATCTCTGTTCACCAAGACTGCCAAGGCAGGGCTCATGGCCTACTTATTTCCGGAAGTACTTGTACAAGGTCACTTTGATAACTTAGTTCATATAATGGGATTCTGTTTCTAGTCCAGTAAATGTAATTTATGCCTGTGCATTTCTATTACTTTTTAATTGCCTTTTTTTCTCCCCTCCCCTATCCCTGAGGCCTATGTTTGTTTATAGATTTATTTAATTGTATGTGACTGTTTTCCTGAGCCATGTTTTTAGGTGATGTACTGCCTTGAGATGACACCAGGTAATTGTGTCTTGAGGAGTGAGGCGTAGAGGAGAAAACTTGGGAATTGGTAGATACTTAGGGTACTTACGGAGAGGAGAGGCCAGGGACCAAGGGGAACGATGGGGAGGGGGGATGTATGAAATTATCCAAGAATGGTTTGCTAGAGCAGTGTTTACAATGTTTGGTCAAAATGGTCAAAGAATACAAAATTTCCTTTAGTTACGCCCTGATTCTTTACTGTCCCTCCCTTTGTTGTTATCAAATAGATTGCGTGTTGAGTGGCAGGTGCTAGAGATACAGACGTGAGTATGGCCCATTCTGCCCAGGAGTCCTCAGTGTGTCAGACCTGTTATCACACCGTGTGCTAAGTCAGATAAATGTCAGTGAAGCGGTATTAACAGCAAGAGGGAAGTCATTAAAGCAGCCCAACCCCGTGGGGTAGTGGGGTGGGAGGAAGAGGTGGTGCCAGGGCCATTGGCTCCTTTTTTTGTTGTTGTTTTGCTCTGTTGCCCAGGCTGGAGTGCAGTGGTGCAATCTCTGCCCACTGCGGTCTCTGCCTCCTGGGTTCGTGCCTCGGCCTCCCTAGTAGCTGGGATTATAGGCAAGAGCCTCCACACCTGGCTAATTTGGGGCTATTGGCTCTTTTGTTTTTTCTGTTGATAGCCCAGAATGGAAGCTATAGACTCCAAGAAAAAGACCTCGTTACTAATGATAATTCTCACTGCTGGACTCTCCAGTCCCCTGGGACTCCTGGTAGTAATCCCAGCGTTCTCCCTCAGGGTGGCCTTGGGCTAGGCTCTTTCTCCCTGTGCCTTGTTCTCCTTTGCTTTAAAAGGGGTATTAGAGTGGATGGTCTATAAGGCTCTGGGAAAGAAATTCTTGGAGCTTCTTTCTGGTAATGAAATTGGGTCACAATCTGTGTATGAATTCATGTGCATGTTGTTGAAAAAACAAGTAAAAGAATGAGGTAAGCCAGGCGTGGCGGCACACTTGTAGACCCAGCTACAAGCTAGTGGCTGAGGTGAGAGAATCACTTGAGCCCAGGAGCTCAAGACCAGACGGGGCAAAAGAGAACTCAGGCAGACCCTTTACCCACACCCCCTCAAAACACACACACCACGAGTGAGATGGTTCAGTTGGTGGCCAACGCTGGTTCTTTGATCCCTTTTCTGTCACAGGCTCTTCTCTCAGAGCCAGGAGAGCTGGGGTCTGGGCCGGCCCGGTGCTACTGTCTCAACCTGTGGCAGGCTGTGAATGTGTGCTGGTCTCCCTTCACTTCAGGCTGCGATACAGGAGGGAAAGAGGCAGATTTTCTCCACCTGTAGCCAGTTCTGACAGAGGTTTTTAAGCCCCGGCAGTCTCTCATCCTTTCCTATGAATAACTAATCAAAACTACTCATCACAAAACACATCTGTTGGGGATTCTGCCTATGGTGCAGAAGTGTTACCAGGCTGGGACCCCTGGATACGTGAAACCATTGAGTCGTTCCCAATGGGCCATTCTGTCTACATTGTTACTTTCTAATATCAATTTGAAAAAAAAAATTCGATTTCCCCTGGCTTTCCTTGGAATTCTTCACATCTTCCTGGGTGGGTATCCACAAATGCAATAATTTTGGTACCTTAATTATTTTTAAAAGTACAACTTTATTTGGAGATTCGCAATCCTCTTCAAGCAACAGTGTTGTGTGGTAGAAAATATAAGTGCTTAGGCCCAGGGTTGGGGCCAAAGTCCAAATGCTGGCTCCACCAGGATTAGCTCTGTGACCTCGAACTAATTGCCTCACATTTTTTAGCTTGTTGTGAATATTAAATGAGAGGAGAACATCCCAACATTAAAAATGGGCAAAGGGCATGGGGGATTAGGAGGACCAGAAGGAAGCATATGAAAAGAAGACGTCAATTAAAATAGGGAGGTGTTCTTTTTTTGGTAAAGATTAAAGGAGGACAGTGGCCAGGCACGGTGGCTCATGCCTGTAATCCCAGCACTTTGGCAGGTGGATTGTTAGAGCCCAAGAGTTCGAGACCAGCCTGGGCGACATGACAAAACCCTGTCTCCACAAAAAATACCAAAATTAGTTCTGGTGGTGTGCCTGTGGCTCCAGCTACTCAGGAGGCTGAAGACGGGGGGATTGATTGAGCCCAGGAGGTTGAGGCTGCCGAAAGCTGTGATTGTGCCACTGCACTTTAGCCTGGGCAACAGAGCAGGACCCTGTCCCCCAGTCCCACCCCCCCAGATTTGATAAGGCAGACCACATATACCTATATTTTGTCAGAGGTGTGTTAGCAATCTGATGATAGCAGACCAACCACTCGGATCATGCTCTTTTTTCCTCCTGTGAACTGAATCTGCTTTATAGAAATTAAGTCTTCGGGACAACAAAGCCGACTAAATTTGTAATCATGGACATCCAACTTGGAGTTCTTCCTTATTCTCTTATTTCTTGTTCCTGTGTGTTGTGGTCAGTTTTCCATTTTAAGTTGAGGGGATGTGAAGGAAAACACATTTCCTCCAGTCCATCCGGCAGCAGCATTTGTTCACTTAGCTGCAGCTTCACGTATCCTCTTCCTAGCAGACCTCACCACACCGTCCCCGAACCAGCCTGCCCCTAAAATGGCTGTGTCGATCTCTGCCTGCAAACACTCTGTGCTCCGACCCCATCTCTTGCCTGCCCTGCTTCTCCCTACATTTCTGAAATTTGCCCTTTTATAACCTCTGCTCGGGTCCTGCCTTGTCCCCTGATGTTGACTAACGGGCTGTCATGTATTTATTGCCTCTGCCAATTTAGTGTACAGGACCCATGTTTTATACTCCCTTTTCCCCAAACTCCAGACTTAAATAAAAATCTTTGTAGTTAGAGATGACTCTGGGTTGATGATGTAGAGATCTATAACTTGTACCAGTTTTTAAGTATTGCCTTTCCGCTCCAAATTCACCCTCAATTGCCTGATCTCTGAAAATGGATCTGGGCTCTTTAGTTTTTTCTTTTGCCCTTTGTAAGTAGAGGTCTCTGAAGGGGACCTTGTAGGAAAAAGGGATTTTCCTTCCTGATTTCATGTATGTGCATGTTTTCCCTGTACTCCTCTATTCCTGCAGGGCACACCTTTCTCCAGCATTTGCTGCCCTTTTTCCTAATCCCTGGCATCAGTGGTGGGACCAGGAGCCTAAGACTAGGTAGATAGACCTCATGCAGCCCAGATCATTGCTCACTTCAGCGTCTCAGCCCCCATTTGTGCACCCCAACTCCCCTGGTGCCGGCCATCTAGTGAGCTAGCCACCTGATCTTTGTCCTGAGCACAACCCTAAGCTGCTCTTGCCCAGGGTATACATTGACGTGCTAAACTTCTACAGAGGGGGGCCTCTTTACTCCCAGGTCCAGCAGCACTTGACTCCCTGTGTGTGCCCTCCTTACTTCTGCCTGTTTGACTGTCTACATCCAGCCTTGCTTCCCTGCACCCTAGAAGGTTGCCCCTCCTTCTTGGTGACTGGATGATCTCTGGCCTAGGTACCCAGGAAATTTTCTGCCAAATATACTTTCTTCTGGGCACTCTCCACGATCAAGATCTTCACACCGCACCACCACTACACTCCAGCACTGGTACCTGAGAGTCACCCAGCATTTGCTAAAAGAACAGATACTTTGGTCATCTAGACAAGTTTACAGTGAATGTTCAGGAGAAACCAGATTAATTAAATATATACACCCTTTCTCCTAAGAGATGACAATGGAAAAAATCACAAACTCAAAAACCCCCTGCCCTACTTTTGGGAGTTATTTTTGATCTGTTCCAGGGCATCCTTTAGATTATTATTCCATCTTTATAATTACTCAGGTATCATATTTTTTTTGTATTAAACTTCTCTTGCTTAGAATAACATCTGGTTTCTGCCTGCTGGTTGGACCCAGACTGAAAAACAGCTCACCTAAGCAAGCAGAAGGATGAATCAGAGTTTAGAGATGTCTCTGAGGGCTCACTGAGAGCTTGCCAGAGTACAGTTGCTTATACAAAGGTCCTAGAGGTTGGAGTGGAAGCATCTGCCTAGCTACCTACAAGCTTTTACAAGGGCTTCCAAACACATTAAGATCCTAGGAAGGGACTACTTGCATTGCAGCATTTCTTTTCTAAAATGACTTCAGCTGGGGCAACATGAAGAGACCTCATCTCTACAAAAAATTTTTTAAAAATTAGTTGAGTGTGGTGGAGAATCCCAGCTACTCAAGAGGCTGAAGTGGAAGGATCACTTGGGCCTAGGAAGTTGAGGATTCTGTGAGCTGTGATTGTGCTACTGTAGTCTAGCCTGGGTGACAGAGCAGAGACCCTGTCAACAAAAGACAGAGTGGAGACAATGAACAAAACATGATTGTCTCACCTTAGGTAAGTAGATGGCCCCAGGCTGCAAATCTGTACTAGGGATTTTCTGCTAGACATGGTTATCATGACTGTCATGCCCTTATCGTAACAATTGCTGGAGGTCCATCCCTCTCCAGGAAGGAGGTAGAGTTACCCCATTTTGGGATAGGGTCCAGGAAGGATAATTTGGGTCTGCTGCAGAGGAAGGATGGCACCCTCACCTGGAAGCACTGCTGAATCCCACACATCTGCACTGCTGCACACCCATATGTCTGCTGCCTTTGGTGGTCTGGGGCTGACTGTGGGAAATGAGGGGGTGGCTGTACTTCTCACCCCAGTTTACCTCTTCACATCTTGCCCCCACCCTCTCACATCTAACATGGAGTCAGCACTGCTGAAATTCTTATCTCCCCTAAGTCTAGAAAGTTATTTAAATTTTTCTGTTATCCTTTAGTTCTTAATAAGTGAGACAGGTTTCTATAAATAAGTTTGTAATTCACCAGCACACATGTGATTTTTTTCCATTGTCATCTCTTAGGAGAAAGGGTGTATATATTTAATTAATCTGGTTTCTCCTGAACATTCGCTGTAAACTTGTCTAGATGACCAAAGTATCTGTTCTTTTAGCAAATGCTGGGTGACTCTCAGGTACCAGTGCTGGAGTGTAGTGGTGGTGCGGTGTGAAGACCTTGATCGTGGAGGGTGCCCAGGCAGAGGCATCTTGACCAGGAACAGAAAGCCTGACTGCTGAGCAGTGAGGCTGGTGTTTAGGCTGGGGCATACCCTTGGGCAGGACCTCTCTTAGAAGAGAGGAAGAAGTGAGGAGGCCCTGAGTTTAAGCTCTGGGAATGGAGAAGAAAGGAGTTCTAGAAGACAACAGACACGTAACTAGAGTTAGGCTCTGAGGGAGCAGTAGCATATTGGTGGTGGTCTGACGGTACTAGGGGAACAGTATGAGCAGGGAAGGGATGTCCATGGGACAGAAGACTTGGGAAATAGGACATATTTGAGCATAATGGGAAATGAGGCTGGAGGCTATTGCAGGCTCTGATGGAATAGAGGAGAGATGAAGAGGGAGTAGGAACACAGGACCTGGCTCCTGGCTGAATGTACAGAGCAGGAAGTAACTCAAGGTAATGTGGGGTTTTCCCCATGTGCCTGTGAACTTGATCAATTGCACACAGGGGCCCCAGGAAGGACTCCACAAGCCATGTGGAAGCCACTGTCTGGAGTTAAATGGGTTGACCTGTGAATCCTCCTTTTGGAGGTGATGCTCATGGCATTGGATGGATGAGTTTGTACAGAGAAGACCTGCTAAAGAGATAGGGAAGGACAGAACTAGAGAAAAGTGCTTCATTTAGGGTTTGGTGGAGAAAGCAGACCCCTGAAGAGCTGTTGGAGGTTATATCATCCCATTTCCCAAAGGAGGAGAGGGAGGCTTAGAGAAGGCAGGTAACTTGTCTAAGGTCACACAGCCAGTAGGTAGCATAACCACAATTTAACCTTGGTCCTCTCACTCCAGATGCCAAACTGGCTTTCCAGTCTGAAAATGGATCTTGGACATCTCCATCCTCAAACATCTGCTACCCTTATTTTTACATAGTCTTTCCACTGAGGACCTAAAACCCTTTTCAGTTTTACTAAAGGCAGGGCAGGATGGCCTCTGGGAGGGTTAATTCCCCTCTCCTTTTTTTCCCCCAAAAGTTCTGTGTGTATTTATTTGGAGAATACATCTAGTGGCTATTTTTATTTGAAATGTTGAATATCATTTGAAAAAATGGGCCACAGTGGGCTTTTGGGGGTTTGTAATCAGTGGGGACCTGAATATGTCCTGCCAGGTGCTTTGATCTGCCACCTGTGGGACTGTGTAGGTGAGTATAGATTCATTTTAAATACTTTTTCCTTTTAATTTTGAACATGAAGTCTTAAAGTAATGGCTGGGAACCAAATTCCTTAAATCTAGCTGATGGCTGTTCTGTGACAGACTGGAGAGCAGAGGCAGATGGATCATCTTAGCTTCGTGCCAGCCTCTCGGTGAGGGAGTGTGGGGAGTCCTGGGGCTCCCTTATCCTGGCCCTGGTGAGAACCCAGGCAAGGCCTCTTTCCCCAATCAAGGAACAAGCTGTAGGTGTGGCCCAGCTCTTCTGGTCCCACTGAGCTGCTCCACTCACACCCTTATCACCCCACCATCTGCCAGCAGTCCTGGGAGCTGTTCTCTCTCCTAGAGCCACTTAGCTGCAAACTGTCTGTCTCTGTTTATCTGAGCAGAACCTGAAAAGGGCTGGCAAGGACCAGGCAACAGATGGGACAGCCAGGGTGGTGAGGACTTAGGTAAACCACTCTTGCCAGACTCCTGTAGGGCAAGGGTAGGCAAAGGGCAGACTGAACATGCTCCTTTGGCCTCGCGGTGTGGCAGGGGGCTTGGGCTCTTACTCCCCGAGGATTCATGTGTCCTGTTTGAGCAGGAAAAGTGTGCAGAAACCAGGATGCCCCCTAGACATGGAGGCTGCTAGCCCAGAGGCTCCTGGGGTCCAGTCGGAAGCTTGGATTTCCAGCCCCTTTCTCTCAGCCTGATTGGGTGGGGGTGAGTGGTCATTTTATTTCATGGTTGAAAGGAGGTCTTGCTGTTCTTTCACCTTTCATCTTGGTAGCTGGGGAAAGTGCAGGGCAGTGTTGGCACAGGTCTTGAGTCTGGCTGTGACGTATTGCTCATTCTGTCCCCGGCTAGTTACTGTCGGGCATCTCTAACTCGCCTGAGCCTGTTGTGGGGTGGGTGGGTGGGGAGCAGGTCACACCCTGCCTGAGTTCTGGGAGAGAGTCCTTGTGGCTGTTGGTGGCCACATTCATGTGTTTTCTGTGCTTGTAGTGCTTGTAGGCCTCTCAGAATTGAAGGGAACCTTTTTAGGGTCATCGGGCTCCGCGATTCCCAGTCTAGTGTCCATGGATGAAACATTGGAATTGTTTCCGTGTTTGAGTCCTAGGGAAAATAGCCTGCGTGGGCTAGAAGGTATTGAAGACTTTTGCCTTGGCCAGAGTTAAACCAATTGAAGGTCATCTCGGATGGGTGGGAGGGAGGCCTGGGGGAGGAGGGATCATAGCTTCTGAATTTTTTTTTCTTTTTAAGAGATAGAGTCTCACTGTGTCACTCAGCCTGGAGTACAGTGGTGCAATCTTGGCTCACTGCAGACTGGATCTTCTGGGCTCAATAGTCCTCCCACCTCAGCCTCCTGAGTAGCTGGGACCTCAGGTGCCTGCCACTACGCCCAGCTGTTTTTTTTTTGTTGTTGTTATTTAGACATGGGGTCTTGCTATGTTGCCAAGTTTGGTCTTGAACTCCTGGGCTCAAACAGTTCTCTCACCTTGGCTTCCTAAAATGTTGGGATTACAGGTGTGAGCCATGGCACCCAGCCCATAGCTTCTGAGAGAGATGAATGGGGGCGCATTTGCCCAGAGCCTAGCCTGTAGAGTCGCTAACCTTACTTAGGATAGCACACTGCCTCCCATATCTGATTCTTGACTCAGTAGTTTTGTGGGTTAAAATGTATAAATATAGAGCTTTTAAAAAAAATTGCCGCTTTAAGAAGATTAACCATGGAAAATAAGACCAAATCCCTTCAGTTCCTGCAGTCCTAACTCTGGCAGCAACGTTTGCTTGCATGATTGCATAATGGTTGAAAAGTTGCATGCTGGCGCTATCATTGCCTGGGTTTGAGTCCTGGCTCTACCATTTAGCAGCTGTGTGACGACGGAGAGGTTCAGTCACCACCCCTTATCCCATGCCTCAGTGAAATAAGCCATGGGAATAAGAGTATCTGCCTCACA